GACAAATTTAAGGGGGTCTGAATACTTTCCGTACCCACTGTAGACAAGCAACCACACACACTTACACTCACTGCTACAGGCAATTTAGAGTCACCAATCAGCCAAGGAGAGTATTGAGTTTGAAACACAGTTTCATATTTGTGAAACCTTCTTTATATCTGTGCAAATCTTTAAATAGACATTTTACATTTCCCCCCATATAAACCTGAGTGGAAAAGCTAAAAGTATTACTTAAGTCAAACTACTGTTTAAATTTTCAAGAAATTAATAGTCAGTAACTTGAATATATCTTGTATGTAAAGATAATATACTGAGATTTACATACTTAATAACTGCATATACATTCTTTTGTCCAAGACTGACCTAAATTTTGTATCATACAGATGTCAAACAGTGTTGCATATGGTAAGGAAATCCTACACTACTTTGCTCAAGCTTGGGTGGACAAGTAGAAACTGACTGTATTTCAAGAAATCAATATTCAATATATCCAATAATATACAGTACATATATATTGTAGCTAACATGAGCACTTGCTGCAGCAGATCTCTGCCACACCAGCATAACGTTAGTTAAAAGTGAGCTATAATGTATCTCAGTTCTGTGAGTAAAGACACAAGTAGAGAGAAACACACAGCAGTTTGAGAGCTGAATTCGGGGAAGGCAGTGCAGTAACTATACAGCCATAGTTGGCAGACAAAAGCCTCGATACAAACAGCAGCTCAGGGGAGAGAGCTGTCCTCTCCTCATGGTTCTCAACCAGAGTATGCAAATCACACTCTCCTTGGCCCTGCCCCTCAAAGCCCTCCCCTCCACAGCAAGACAGTGACAGAGAAGTGAAACTGGAAAAACACCTTTGGCATTGGAAAAAACTTACATTAACAAAAATTTAGAGATTTTCATTTTCCCAGTATTAATACTTTTTAATGCCCATCAGTTTTTTTCTTTCAATAAAAATGCTTCAAAGTAAATGTTTGCTTTTTCAGTTATGGCTTTGATTTTTCAGTTACGGTTTTGGTTTCAATGCCAAACTTTATTTTTCAGTGCCAAAGACTACAGTCATCGATCTGGCGCCATACTAACTGCTATAAGCCAGCTAGAAAATCATGCCCTTAATTATCTTTGTAAATTCATGGACTGCTGAGTGATTTGTTGATGGCTGAGGTAAATGGTACGGGTATACTACTGAAATTTCCTGCAAATCAGATATGGTAACTAGTGGATTTCATTCAAGAAGGCACCATCCCATTAGCTGACACTGAATCAAGCTATTACTGTAATTTTCTGGAATCTTCCACAGCAATGGCAATAGTCTTGTTCTTGGGGGAACAGGTAGACAATACAAACTCAAAGCCACCAGAAACTCCTTCACTGTGAGAGGGCTTTGTGTTGATTTCTCCATTACTTTGTTCACACCATGTATTTTTCATGTTTCTTTTTTTTTTTTAGGTTTCGTTTGCAGAAGTATGCCAATGCTAGAGAAGCTGTCCATGCCATTAACAGTGAGGCTAGCTGGTATTATGAACCGCCATGTTTTTGTTCATGCATTAAGAACTATTAAGTGAAAGATATCATATTTACAGTACAATTCACATGTAATTACACATATACACTAGAGGCAAGAAAATTCACATTGAAATCAGTTAAACACTTTTTTCTCCTCCTCTACCCCTTGAACATATGTGTCTAAAGAAATGTTTTTCCTCTCTTGTATAAGCAAATATCCTAAAGTAAAAGCATAGAACAGAAGATCCTCACAGCTTTTGGGGTGAATGTGCTGATTTCATGTCTAGAAAGCTGGTACAATAATGCATGTTCTGAGTGAAATGACTGGTGAATATACTGTATTTAGTGTGACAATGCAAGGGCTGCTAGTGTGTCTCCTCTGTGTGTGTTTGGAATTCATTAAAGATATGTATCAACTATCTCGTGTTTATATTAATTACTGGGAATAAATCAAATTAAAAAATAATTTGATACTTGTGTTAGTCTAGGTTACAAAATGTGTTGTAAGTGCATTTCATTTGAACCACAGAGTAGGTGGATTAGTTTTCTTTCTGACTGAACACGATCCTCCGATTTAGCTAAAGTAAGACGTAAATTCAATATATTTACAACCAATACCTGCTCTGCTGCCAGTGGAACTGCTGGTATCCTCTGGCCTAATATTCTTAATACTTTGCAAATATCCTTTATATTGCCTTCAAACCATTTCACAAGCTGTTAGTATGCAGACCAGGATGAAATGACACAAAAAAAAATAAAAATAAAGAATCTAAAGGATATGGCCACCTGAAATATGAATGTGATTATGCACATTCAGGCACTTTGCCATTGAAAGTGCCTGAATACTCCTGATTCAGATGCTTCTATCTACATCTAACTTCACATACCCTTATACCAACCATAAAGTTATTGATACTGTGTGAACGCACTGAAAGTCTGCTTTCTAGCTGGTTGCAAAAATCCACTGGTGGAAAGAGGGTCTCAAATGAGAATTGACCATGGTTTTATAAGCTAAAATTGCAGCATACATACCATATTGATATATGAGTTAAAGGGGAACTCCACTGATTTTACATATCAGAGTTTGTCTGTCGGTAATGCGTAGATGGAGCATATCTCAACATTTTGACTTTATTGTTGACATGCAAAACAAATAAATAAATATTCCTCTCATTTTATATTTCTTTACTATTTTAATACTACTGAAAGTACTACTGCATATGTGACAAAAAACCAGCTTATCATGCTTGTTCTGGCTCCAAAAGGAGTTGCCCAAGATCTGATAAATTGCCTCATGTGATGTCACTTGAGTCAGCATCAGTTAGATCTGAAGACTACAAACTTGAAAATGGAAACAAAATCTGGGAGTGGAGTCTGAAAGAAGAGGGCTAACTAAACCTCCATAGCCTGCTTTTCCTCTCTGCTTGAGTCTAGCAGCTCAAGGCTACATTAGCCACTACTGGCATTATACACCTGAATCTCTGACCGAACTATAGGTGGTCAAGTTGCATTGTGGGTAATAAAGGCACCATATTTTGACAAAGAGAACAAATGAATGGAACAAAAGAAGACTATGTCTGATTCTGCAGCATTAATTTTGATATTTTTTTCCACTGTGAGTGTCACAATGCTATAGGAGTGTAATGCTAAACTGGTGGGGTAGGCTACTCTTTTAAAATTGGTACGGATACTTAACCAAGGTGTAAATGACTGCATGTTGAAACAACTAATGCTACTGTTTCCAGTTCATTGCATTTCAATCTCCCATTTGGTAACTATTGAAAAAGTCTGAATATATGCATTCACATGCAGTAAATCAGCTTACTAGCCACTTAAGAGTATAATACTGAAAATGTAACACAACAGACCCTGCATCAGAATGGAGATGGTAAAATTTTAACCTAGAACCTCAAAATAGTTGCTGCTAATTTCACATTTAACATGTATCCTTAAATAGTGATTGTTCACTGCAGACACAAACGTAACACTCAGCTCAGTGTGTCTTTCCGTTATTCTCACTATCTTTCTTTATATTTTTATGGATTACTGGATATTTAAAGGTAACCCCCCCCCACCCCCCAAATTGCTTCTACAGTATATGTCAGTGATGCATAAGATCCAAACCAAAGGAAACACTAAACTCAAGCCATGTCACCGTACAAACTTCATTTGGACTTACTGATACAAACTGGTTTCTCATCAGTCTTCCCTTTTGAAGACATCTTATGCATACAACCCTACACTCCAGAGAGGAGTGGATATTTCTGATAATCAGCTGATGCTTTGCCATCTTCATCTTGTTACTCTGCAGCCCTTTCATCTTCCTCCTTTCCCTGTGTGTTTGTATATAGTATATGACAATTTTACTGCTCTTTTTTATTTCTCAGGGCCACACTGTGCTCCTATTCTAATGAGCCAATCTCTTTCCTGATAAGGGACCCTGTGGTGGATCTGGTTATAGGTTCTGCTCAGAGCTTGTTGGTCCTGGTAGAACCTGTTAGTGCCTAAAATGAAGATGACATGGAGAAAGATGCTGATCTGCACTTCAGCTAAAACTAAACAGGCAAGGGAGGATATTTTGTTAATTTTGTTTTTTGCTCATTCCTATCTTCTCACCAATATCCACTGTCTGTCTCAGCCATCTGATGCTCTAATTTCTAAAGGTTATCATTTTAACCTTTTTTGGTGGTTGCACTAAACTAACTTGATTTGGATGCTGAAACCTATAAATAGTGTGATATCCCAAAAAAAGAAAAAAAGCAGGGTTTTCCCTTTGGGGATGTAGTGTATGTGTGTGTTTTAGCAAAACAAAGTGATATGGATTATAGGCCTTTTGGGTGTCATTTTACTTCATGGCTATTTACCAAACCCTTTTCTCCCCAAGGATCATTGTGTGATTCCTGATTAAGCTGATGTTTCTGATCCTTGGTGTTTGGAGCATTTATGGTATGACACTGATTGAGTCTGAGGGTGAAATACTGAATCCTTTCTCCCTCGGGCTGACCATTACTATCCTAATCAAATAATCCTGCCTTCAGAAACTGCAACTCCCACACTGAAGAAATGCTCAACAAATAAAGGAATACTTGATACTAAATGGCAGCAGGTCAAACTGTGGGTAGACATGTTGACTCTTTTGAATACACATGTTCTCACATCTTCACTGGGGAACAATTTCAGCCAAATCACAAAAGCGATCCCCTATTTTCTTTAGAAAACACAAAGCAGTATATGACATCAATGAACTCTGCATCTAAAGAGCATGTGAATCACTCAATTGGAGGAAAGAAACAGTACAAGTATACTTTCATGAGAATACTGAATGACAAAATGTATAGAATGTTTTTTTTCAATCAAAATGAGTAATGCATACCTTTTGACTCTTTTATCGCATAATGCCCTAGCTCTAGAACATGTTCTGACACTTTCTGAAATCACAGTATTTTTCAAGACAAAATCATATCTACAACAATCAGCATTTGTTTTTAACCATAATGAAAAAGACCCCCTCCCTACCCCAGGATGTTTTTTTTTTCTAAAAATAACATGAGAAGAGAAAGGAATACAAGTTTGCATTGACTCTGGGCAAGAATGCGGCAGTCAAGCATCCCATCTATACAGCTCCTCTAATGGGGACCATTAGGCCAGAGCTGATGTCTGATAAAGAGAACAATATCACTTCAAAAACCCCAAGGAACAACACATAATCCAAACAAGGTTGCTGTACATAGTAGAACCGGAGATTTCCGTGCATGTTATCCATGGGTGATGGGAGGGTTTGTAAGAGCATTGGTTGGGTGAGGAGAGCAGGGGCTGGGTGAGGGGGGAGGGGGTGTCAAGGATCTCACTCAGCTGATGCCTGAACAAACAAGCCACCACTGATTTCATGAGCTGCAGTAGAGGATTCTGATAACAATAGTAGCAATAAAAAGTCAGTGGGACTCTGAGACATCTTTTCTTTCTCAAGAGCTTTAACTTTCTTTTTTTTTTTAATTTGTTATGTTTTGTTTTGTTTTTTAGCAAAAATATCATGCAGTCTTTAGTTCCAAAAACCCCTGGTGGGAGCTCGTGTTTGTTTGTTTGTTTGTTTCAGGAGGAAAAAGAAACTCAAAGCCTTGAAATTCTTCTATCACAATTATTCTTAAACATTCAAGTCATCCTATTAATACTTTTTACAGCAGAAATGTCCTTCAGATTTCACACGTGTATATATAAATATAGTATATAGAAATATGCATATACATATGTTCAACTTGTATATGTGTATACATATTTTTGAACTGTATCAAAGCCAATTTAATGTGCTCTCAAAATATGGCCCATGATTCCTAGTGGGATGCACATCAATTCACATAGTACAACCAGTAGATTAGGTTGAAAAATCCAAAGGTGATAGGGAAAATGACCCGGGACCACTTGTCAATGGTGCTAACATCTGAAAGGTTTGGGATTTTCAACTTCAGCTTAGAGGAGCGTCGTCGTAGCCGACAGTTGGCCCGGCTTCGCATGGCGCTCCGATCCAGCGAGTGGTGGCTGAAGCCATCTCTAGGCGCCATGGGCTTCCTGAATTGGACCCCGGAGCTGTCGAAGGACATGACTGAATTCCGAGAGTCACTTACGCTGCTCCCCACGTCAGAAGGCATCACTTCGTTGTTCATCTCCAGCGTGGTGAGGAGGATATTTCCATAAGCATCCACCTACAAGGAGAGGGGCAAAGACACTGAGAGTCAGTGAGGGCTGAAATGTCAAGCAGTAGCCCCAGATTCTCCCAGTAATGAAACTTACATTAACCCCACTGCCCATCACCCAAGCTGTTAAGCTAAAGCAAAATGTAGGGATGATATGGAATGACATTTCTTGCATGCAAAATAAATAGTTAAAGTGTTTTTTAAACAGACATCTATTAGTGATTCTTCACTAATAAAAGTCAAAAGTAAACAATGTGAACAATCTTAGTCATCTGACTTTATTGTGAGACTCTGACCTATAGCTGATATGATTTCTAAATACATGTACCCCAACTTTTCTTTGTTCCTCGAGATACAGATTTCTTCGCTGTGTAAATGACCTGAAGGTGTTGGTTTGAAACGGCACGGAAATGGAGTCCTTGCAATGTGAAAGAAAAATGAAGAGAACATTAAAACGACTATAAGAAACTGGTAAATAAGCACATTTTCTAAGAATTACACAATGCATAGGACAAAGTTAACATGAACAACTTTGAATAAGCATAGCATTTAGTACTTCACACACAAAAAACAGGGAGGGGGCTTCATTCAGTCTGACCATTTCAGCATCTGTCATTGTCTAATTGTTAAATTGCCAGTGCTGTTTCATCCTGTGTTTTGAGGTTTTGTCTAATTAGGTTAGAAAAAACATGTTAAGACACAAGGTAGAAGAGTAAGAGTGGATGAAGCCTACAGCATAAACAGAGACAACAGCCTAAATAAGAAATGAGAATGTGTACACCACTGTTGAGCTAGATGAATTGCTATCTCAATGAAAAAGGCTATGCTCAATAAAAAACAGTCAGTGCTTGAGGGAGAAGCAATGGATGATGGTTGGTGAATGCATTTTGGGCTATGGTGGTGTCAGTATGCTTGTGGAATATTACTTAAGGGAATGCTGTATGCGTGTCTTTGGATAAAGTGACTATGGTCAGAAATCTTATATTAACATAGTTGTTTTGTACTTAAACCCTGACTGATACAAAGAAGCAGAATAAAAGAGAGGCAGCAGACGAAGATGCAAACCTGTTCCCTCAGGCGCTTCTCTTCATATCTTGTGCGCTCGTTGTTGGCTTTGTTCAGCCTCTCATTGATTTTTTTCTGTTGCGCAGGGCCCCGGCCAAAGAACACATAATTTACAAAGGCATATTCAAGCAGGGCCAGGAACACAAACACAAAACAGCCCATGAGGTAGACGTCGATGGCTTTCACATACGGAATCTTTGGGAGAGTCTCCCTAAGGTGGGTGTTAATTGTTGTCATGGTGAGCACCGTTGTCACACCTGAGTACAGCAACACACACACACACACACACACACACACACACACACATACACACACAGAGAGGATTCATCATCAGATACACAGACATTATACTGTATTTCACCTTCACATTGACACTACCAGCAAAATATACAGAATCTTACGATTCTGGTACGATACCAAAAAGTCATGGTATATTTATTTAAAAAAGAGAAAAAATATGAAAAAAATGCTCTTTAGTAAATAATAAATCAGCAGTTTTTGTATAATGTCTATAAGCAATAACGCAGCAGTCAGTAATAGTCTTTTTAAGAGATTTTATATATACTGTATATATATATATATATAATTCCATTAGCAGGATCTTGTAAATAAAATAAGTCACACTCACAGTAGAACATCACTGTTATAGTAACCCCTCAGCAGGTTTAAATTTCTCTGTTTGGTGGTCGGGTCCTCAGTAGGCTACTAGCCCAGCTGACGCCAACATAGGATAAACCACATAATGGTGAGATGTGTGCTTTACTGGAGGTGTTTTTATTTTTTTTTATCATCGTGGTCTACTTTTTAAAGAGAAAAGACTTAAAAGGTAGTGTAGTGGTTTAAGTTACATGTTAATATGGATTATGTAATAGAATAGTGTTTATAGGTTCATTTTTAAATCCACATGAGAGGAACAATGAGCTTATATAAGTTGGCCAAGATGTTTCCTGTTTTTGACAGACAGGATGGTGCAGCAGTTGTGAGTGAGAGCTTGGACCCGGCCGGCCAGGGGGACCCTGTGACCAAGACTGACTGGCGCTGTGATAATCTTCTTATTTAATACTGTACCTGACCTGTCCCGTTTCAGGAGGAGTGATTCTGTTCTCTGTTCCCTAACTACCAGATTACCTATTCAACTACTACTCTGTTCAGAATAATTGTAATATTAAATGACTACTTAAATTGGGAGGATTTGTCGGTATCACATTCTAGCCACGACAGTAGTTACTGAGTGATTGGTTTTGCATATGTGTGTCCAGTTTGCTTGCCTATCTCTGTAAAGGTTTTGCGCAAAGTCCCAACTGTTTGTATAAGACATATCCAGAATTGTCTCAGTCCTAAACTAAGTATTTCCTTCACTCAACAGCATTTGCAAATTGTTCAGCTTTTGTTGGTTTCTTTTCTGCCCGTGTCAGTTGTTGAAATGGGAAAACTGAAATGCTGCCACACAAAAGCTCTGAAAGTTGACATGAAGCATCAGCTTAGTCAGTTTCAATTTGTACGACCAACATGCAGTTATAATAACAAAGATACTGTCATAGTCCCACAACATTATTGAGATATTTTTCTATTGTGATATTATGAAATTACAAATATCCCTAGTATCTAAAATTAAAAGTAAAGATACACATTATGTAGCAGTATCTGTATTTTATCTGTAGCCGTTCCTGGTAGCCTAGTGGTTAAGGCGCAGCGCTCTTGCCGCTGCGGCCCGGGTTCGAGTCAGGGTTGCGTCCAGAAGGGCATCCAGCGTAAAACACGTGCCAAATGTCAACATGCGAGTCGTCAGTGTGACGATTCACTGTGGCAACTCCTAAACAGGAAAAGCCAAAAGTGACTTTTATCTGTAATAGAATTTGTAGTTTTATTATTAAGTGATCAAGTCAACAGTGCTAATATCAAACACACAAAGATGATCTAGAAAGGTTATATTGCAGCCTGCTATTTCAGCATGTCGTAACAGTGAAGAAAACAGTTCAACATACATCACTAATACCAGTTTGAGAAATTTGTTTAAGTTAAACTGGTTTTATAGTAACAGCTCATTTCTTTTCTAAATCATCACAAATAGAGTCATTGTTCATTGTTCTAGGAGACTGGGATTGTGCTCTGGTCAAAACTGTTCAGTAAAGTTTATATGATGTTGTACTACTGTTTCACAGTGCTTTCACAGTGTCAGAAATATGAGTATGAGAGTTTCTTCGTAACAACATCAGAACACATAATAATTCCAATGTTAGTTTGACAAATGTCAATAACATCATTACCAATTATACTGTAAGTCTTAATAGATATTGTGATGCTCTGTGTACTACTTTAAAGCAACTGGGTGACATTTACTGTATTATGAGTAAGCATGTCATCACTTCATATTTTTAACATGTACATCAGTATTTCTACTTTCAGTGTTCACACAGCACTAGTTGACTTTTGAGGATCATCACATGGTAGCAACAGAGATGTATTTATTTGGTAATTCAGAAAACTGAAGCACTGACAATGTTTTTCTTCCCTAAATCAAAATAATATTGGCAGTTTTCATGCGCTTACACTGCTAGTTCCTGTGATGATCAGTGGATTCTAATGGGAACAGTTAGAAGTTTAATAATGCAGCTGTGGCTGTGTCTTACCCAGGGCCACCCGAGCTGCAGAGGCATCATAATTGATCCAGAAGGATACCCAGGAGAGGATGGTGATCAGGATGGAGGGCATATATGTCTGCAGGATGAAATATCCAATGTTCCTCTTAATCCTGAAACTCAGTGAAAGTCTTGGATATGAACCTGTGACGAGAAAGGAAGGAGTATATTTTAGAAAAGGACAAGAGTGAAAACAGAAGAGAAAGAGGAAATGTTAGCAGAACTTAAGAGTCCCAAAGTCTGCACTTTGACAACGTGCAGGGTAGTCATTTCTCTATTTGTTCAGATGGAGCACTTAATTTCCCCAAAGCGATGGATTCCTTTCCAGGGACAAGTTCAATTCCAATTAAACATGGCACAAAGTTGCAAACACGGCAGATTTTTCTGCAACCCCCTATCTCAGCAGGCATCTCCAGTATCCCTCTGAGAATTGTCACAGAGAGCAGCTCTGCTTTTCTTTTGCACTTTTCTCTGTCCTCTGAACATTACCAAAAGGGCATTTTAGAGGCACATAATGGCAACCCATGCCCTTGCACTTAAAGAAGAAGGAAAATAAACAGTATACGAGTCATTTCATTGTACATTTTGGAGGTATATATATCACCTGGTTGTGCCAAGGCATTAATTGGTCTTTTGATTGCACTTTAGTTTAAACAACCACAACAATACAACGCTGATGCCAAAAACAATATAAACATCAAGGCTGGGCTGTTCTCCTTCAGCTCTAGTGAGATATTTATGAGCTTGGAAACTATACAAATTGCTCTAAATAATAGTTAAATTCTGTTTTATGTATTCTATCTACAGTTTTATGTCCAATTTGTCACCAAAGAAAAAAGGCTTGAGATAAGCATGATGGTTTTAATCTAAAAGGCTATTTGCTATGGGGAACACACAATGATGAATGACCTCATCATCTCCAGATTCTTGTAAATCTTTTAATGAATCAATACTTACCATACATACTTCATCAAGTCTGAGACAAATGCCTTAGCTCTCCCAAAGTACTTTGCGGAATACTGGTTGCAACAAATGTTCATAGAGTTCATTAAACTGAAACATGAGAATTATATCTGTGGAGCAACTGCTTGCAAGGAAGCTGGAGTAAACTGAAAAAAGATTACTGGTACATTCAAGTTTTTCTTTTTTTCCTTTCTTTTTTTGTTACCAATGAATCACTTTGCAAAATCCATGATGCATTGTTTTTTAATACATGTATATATATGCTGTAAATCCAGAAATTCTTGTGTAACAATTTAGGGAGTAGTTAGCTTTCAATTTAACACAATCAGCAATAGAAGAACTACTCAGACACTTTACTGAATAGTGCACCATTTTAGGAATACACAAATTCAATTTCTTGCTGAGAGCTAAATGAGAAGATTGATACCACTGTATTGTCTTGTGTACTAAATATGAAGTTACAGACAGGGAGTTAGCTTAGCTCAGCTTAGTTAGCATCAAGACAGGAAACTATGTAAATAGATATCCTAAGTAAAGTACTGATGCTTTAAAAATGTTCCTGGACATTTATTGTGCTTTGTTTTTTAAATCAAAGTCATTCTAATAGAAATTCTACTGATGAATTACATCTGTGAATAACCTCAGTTTTTTTCTTTATTGGAAACAAAGACTGGTTTGTGACTCAACCTGCACTTTATTTTTTGCATATCAGTTCACCTTTTATATGTGGAAATGACCCCCTATAATCTGCTGCTCTGAAAAGGAAACTGTCTTTCTGCGTGACCCAAATTTAATGGTATAGTATTGCCCACAGTGACAATGACATATTACTGATGACCCCCTCACAAAACTCACAGTTGGGACATAGTAGCAGAGGTGTTTATAGAGCTATAGGTTTAAAGGTCTTTTCGTGACAGCCTTACCAGTAGTAAACCGGACCTCCCTCGACACCAAGCGGATGTCCACAATAGAGAACTGAGGTAACTCTAACTTGTCAACTCCCGTCACAGCATTGTCTCCTCCTTGCCAGAAGAATACGATATCATCTGTAGTGTAGCCATCTGTGTGGATTATAAGTGTGATGAATAAAACAACCATTAATGTTAACCATGTTTGTATTTAAAGCCCATTGCAAGAGTTTGAGTAATGGGTAAAGGTCACTTTGCAAATCAAACAGTTGTCTATATGTACTCTGTGTTACATTATAGTCATTCAGAGCTTAGCAAACTCACAACATATTTAGTTTTGGGAATCTGTTGGAGGCCATGGCACTCTGTGCCTACATCCTAAAGTGGCTTAACAGGCTATGTTTATATTATATGCTGGAGCAACTCAAATCAATTTTTTTTCTTCAAGTGATTCGGATCTAATCTTTTCATGGATGTGTCAACAAATCAAATCTGATTTTTTCAAATCCAACCTTTTTTGCTCCTAGATCTGATTCATGTCCATTCTCTGACTATGCAACTACCGACAAAACGGTCAGTAAGAAATTTATGGAGCTTGCTCTTCGGTGGAGGCCAATATTGCTTGTTGTCATCATTCACTGACGGCATCTCTCAGTTCTTTTGGGCAAACATTATTTTATTTTATTAATTGTTGTTGTTCAAACTTTATTGAATTTTAATAGGATAAAACAACACAGGAACTGAAAGATCTTGAACTAAACTGAACCCAACTTACAAGTGAGCCTCTCTTTCCAACACTGTTTCAGGAGAGGATGCATTTATCCTAGCAGCCAAATGTTTCTGATCTAGAATCTCTAATAATGTGATATGCCATGTCTATGCTGTCAAATTGTGTGGAAGAATCCAGGATTGAGCAAAAGGTTTTTTGGCTGCTGACTAGCCATACTTTAAGAGTTGCTTTGGAAAGCAATAGTTCCATTGCTGCTTAAAGTGCCTTAGATTTTGTGTTACTTATTTGTTTACTTTATATTTCATTTGTATTTTGTGGCATTCATGTGGACGACAAAGTAAGAATTTCATTGTACAGGGAAACATGTTTCCTAACTGTGCATATGACAAATAAACACTTTGACCTTTGACCAGAAGAATTATTAAGAAGATGAAGTGCTGGGTCCACTGAGAAGTTCACCTTTGTCAGGGTAGAGATAGCTTGTATTGTCTCTTCCCAAAAGCACTGTACCTTTTAAGAGACCCATTCCATGTGGACCAAGGTGCCCAGAGTGCCCAGGGGACAAGATGTACAGACTGGGCTGGGGCTCAGACCCATCCAGTATCTCTGCTAGGGTATCACATAGGCCCCGTGGCAGAACTTAATACGAATAAATTTTTGATTGGAGTTATTATGGCTATTATGCAATTTGACCAAACCTTGTCCAAGTTTATTTTCCTGTAGAGGCTGGACATAGACCATTCCCATTCTCGGATCCCTGTGATAGAATATGATACAAGTTTGTTGTACATAAAAGATACAGTATGGCTCTGTGCTTACCGAGTCCATATGACCAGTGGGTGGACAAGAAGTTTATTGCCCCACTCGACTTTAAGGGTTTTTAAGGCAGATCTCAGTCTAAAATACATGAACAGTGTGTGTTTATCAAAACTGAACCATGCCAGACATTCTTCAAAGATGATTAAGGTGTCTGTCCCATTGAGGTCACCCAGAACCCTGGTTCCTTTCTCTGCCCGGTCATCCTGGATAAAGGGTTTACCACCTGAGATTATAGTGAAATTTCTCCAAACTGGGGAGGACCTGTAGAACTTGGTATTATATCCTACATGTCTTTCAACTGCCTTGCAAATTTGTAATGTCATCATAGGTCTGTATTTCTGGGAGCTTTTCCTATGAGAAATACCAAAGAATAAAAAAATATTTCAGTCTCATAGGCATCACCAGATCTTCTTCTATTTGCACCCATGCTGGATTGTGCCCTTCCTGAAACCACTGACTGCAGGCTCACAGGGTAAATGCCCAGTGGTACAATTTGAAGTTGGGAGAGCTTCCCCATCGCTTTTGCTTCTTTGTAAGACTGACCACTTAATTCTCAATTTTTTTCACATTCCATACATACTGTATGACCATAACATAGTATTTAACTTAGACAAGTATTTAGTAGGGGGGAGCAGCAGTATCACAGAAGCTATAAAGTTTATGTGAGGTAGAATATTCATCTTTATCACTACCAAGGGATCTAGATCGCTATGTACTTAGGTCACCTGGTCTATGACCAGGATGTTAGAAGGGATGTCTACCTTGTTGAGGCTACATTTATTAGCATCAAAGCAGATTTGAATAATTGATTTTAAAGCCTGACAGTTTCCCATCTTCTAAGATCTGTATTGCATTAGGAAGGGAGTACTTCACAATAAATAAGAACAATAAGGTGTTGTCTGCTTAGATTGATATAGAATGTGTGGTGTGTCCCAATTTGATAGGAATTATTGCTGGACTGCTATGGATTAGCTGTGGTTCCGCTGAGAAATTAAACAGTGGGCACCCTTGGCATGAGTCCTTAAATACTCTGAAAGTCTCTGAAAAGGTATCTTTGATACTTATTCAGACAAGTAAATTACAGTACAGGGCTTGCAGCATTTGTATAAATTTAGGGCCAAAATTACATTCCAAAAGCATTAGCCAAAGGTATTTCTACTCTAGGCTATCAAAGGCTTTCTCCACATCCAGACATAGAAGGCCACTGTTCGGAGGGATTGTGTTTGCCTAAAGCTAGTGGCTTCTTCAAGAATTGTGTTGGGTAATGGGTTAATTAGTTTACTCATTACCATTTATAGCCTGGTGGCCAGTAGTACTTAAACATATCATTTTAAATGGGCATTATTGAGAGAAACTGGCCAGTAATTGGTGCATTCCATTGGGTTGTTACCTGATTTGGCTATAACTGTAAAGTGCTGGTTCAAATCCAAGAGGAAATGTCCCTTTGAATAGCAATGTCAATGGAATCCAGCCAGTACTGACCTAGAATGTCCCATATCAATGCATATAATTTTGCAGGTATCCCATCCACCAGGGGAATGACTTGTTTGTAGTTTTAATTGCTTTTAGCTGCTTGTCTATTTTTTCTTGTCATCAGACAGTGATGGGGAGATGCATATTGTGAAAAAGCTTGTTGTAATTTAGCCCTGTCTCCTGAGCTTCTGAGATATATAAATTGAAACTAAAGTATGTAAAGACCCCCCACTACCTCGGATTGGGATGTGACCACCCTTTTCTCCATGAATTTGATGGCAGGAATAGCCCTGCCTTTTTCCTGTTGTTTAATAGTAAGAGAGAAGAGCTGACTTTGTTTGATATCATCTACATAATTTCTGCATTTGGAAATGTGCATTAAGTACTCCAATCTCTGCTTCAGTAGATTGTTCAATTCTAATTGCTTGGTTCTAAGAGAGCTGCCAACCAACCTTTGGACAGCATCATGCGTTTAATTTTGGCAATAAAAACATTATTTAAATAATTAATGTCATCATCAATTATCCATCATAATTGTGAAGATGCCTATTTACAGTAAAAATACACTTTCAAAAATCTGCATATTTTTTCTAATTGAAGTTATAAAAAAAAAAAAAAAAAAAAAAAAAAAAAAAAAAAAAAAA